ACTCCAGCGGGAGTGTCATCCCCAATATTTTCCTGCTGTCCGTTACTGGCTATCTATTCTTCCTTCGTTCCCACAGACGGCGCCAAATTGTGTGGGTAAAAATCTGACCACACTGCCTGCTTAGTGATCAACTGGGGAGCACAGGCAGAATAGATGGCTTTAGCAACCTGAAACAGAAAGAAAAAGGCTCCGGCGGTGGTTCTTCCACCCGGGGGCACTCCGACGATCAAGTCAGTATATTTCTCAAAGATAATCAAGTGTAAAACTTAATACTCAAAACATAAATTGCCTACCTTAGACCCATGGGGGTGCCTCTCTTTTATAATATACTCAACCCAAATCCCACTAGAAGTATGACTTCTATGAATTCCAATTTAGTGCTTACTTTGGACTCTTTAAGAGATAAAGATAAATTCCCTTAAGAGTTTTATCTTGGTTAAGTCCCCTTTTTGCCTTAGGACTCTTATCCCTTATCTGCTTATCTCGGATTCCGATATCTTCGGGGATAACCTCGGCAATTCCGAGATCATCTCGGCTTAACTATGACGACACGTGGCACCTCGGCTGACACGTCGGCGTCACCATGCCACGTGTTGGTATTCAGAAAATATATCCGCACACCTATAAAATAAATGATTTTTTATACATAAATATACTTATTATAACATTATTTGCTGTAAAAATATTATAATATCCTTCTTTTTGTATCACACCCCCTTCCCATCCTCCAATGAATTGAAGTCCACAAAATTGACTGGCGGTGCACTGGTCCAACCCTTCAAACAACATTTCATTAAAGGTTACCACAACAACCTCAAAAGGGGCCAACATATAATTTTTAAAGATTAGGTTAAATACTAAGTTTATAACCAAACATAAAGAATTAAAGCTTTGAATTTAGGAAAATGAGTGAGAGCATTAATTAGTGCTATCATTAATGATGTGACAGTGGGTTCTACTAGAAATGATTTGATGTTTTGACCTTAGTATTGTATTTTTTTTTTTTATTTATTGAGTGTTATGTTATTAATGATCTTTTTAAAACTTCAAAATTAGTAATCTCTATCATTATTGTTGAATTTATATGTGTTTACACTTCTTTAGGTAATGCCCGCAATCTTGCCACTTGGTGGGTCTGAGTAGAGCAGAGGGTGGTGGTGGTGGGTATATCCGTAAAAAGTTAGATTTTGACTCTTCTTCAGCCTTCCATGACCATTCTTTTATGACTACCCTTTACCGGAAAGATTATTTTCTTTTTTTTTTTTCAAATAAAATTTGTATACAAAAACTTAATCAGAATGATGTGAGAGTAATATTTTTTTAAAGTTATAATTAAAATGATAAGTGTTTTAGTTTAAGTGAAAGCACAACAAAATAAGATTTTAGAAATAAAAATTTAGTGACAAACAGTGGCGGAGCTATGTAAGGACCAGGGGTTCATTTGTCTCCCTAGATTTTGTGATTTTTTATTTTATTTTTGTAAATATAAATAAAATATTTTAAATAAAAATAATTACAAAAATATTATTAGAGTGAAATGTCAATGACATTTTAAAAATTATAAAAACAATAATGATTGTTTTTTATTAAAAATGAAGAGACTACTATAAACCATATTATCTATGAAAATTTTAATTGTAACGGTGATGCCATTATTATTGACATGCAAATATAAGTAATCTCACTATAAAAATATAAAATTTATTGGATTGTTAGTTACATTTGACATGTTAGGTTTACTCTCTATGTGTTTATTTACTATTAGTTGGTGATATCGCATACTAATGATGACGTGATATTGTCATTTTATTAAAATTTTTAATCAAATTTTGTATAAAAAAATAATTTATCATTATATAATTTATTTTAAGACTTATATCCATATTTTTTTATATTGTCCATGATACACTATGTTAGGTTTTTATTCTTAGTAATCCCGTTTGACAAAACCCCTTTCAGTTGCACTTGTTTTCACTCTTTTATTTTAGTGAGGTTATGAGTTTTTAGATACGAATCTAAGTTGAATTGTACATTGCAGAGAAGTTTGTGGTGCTAATTCTTTCATGATTGTCACTTCGCCGACTATGACGGGAATCGAGCTGCCCGATCAGCTCGCGAGAGTCCAAGGGGCAGTGCCCCTTGGCGAGTCCAGGGCAACACCACAGTGGGGTTGAGGGGCAGCGCCCCCGAAGCAAAATGCAAAAATGCATTTGAAGTTACTTGTCCGCTCCAGCGGATATTTCCCCGCTCCAGCGGAGAATTCTTGGTTTCAGAAATTTGATCGCCTGCAAAAATACTGGTAGTTGCATTTTTCCGTTCGAGCAGAATTTCCCACGCTTGAGCGTCGGTCCGCTAGAGCGACCATTTCGGCGCTTGAGCGGAGATCGCGGAACAGATTGCTATAAATATATGATTTAGTCAAATTTTAGGGTTACGCTTCTAGATCTTCTTCTTGAATATTAAGGTTTATATCTGGGGCTATTTTGTTAGTTTTCTTTAATGTTTAATTGAGTGTTCAACTCATGGTTTAAGAAATATACATCAAAGGATTGTTTGTTTATTCTATACAAAATAGAGAGTTGTTCTTCAATAGATTTTGGAGAATTCGAGCCTGAAGCTTTGGTGGATTCTGGAGTGGCTCATCATCGTGATTTGACATCGGCGTTGTGGATTCAACGTTGGGGTAAGACAATTTCGAGATGAAGACAGGGCTAGAAGAGGCACATAGGGGTTGGTGCAATTCGGGCGTTGATTCGTTAAGTAATTAAGAGTATATCTATGTAATTCTTTTATGTCTTTTTAGTGGATTGTTTTGTGGCTTTTGCCCGTGATTTTTTTTATCACAATTGGAGACGCTCCGATTGTGATTTTTTCACGTAAAATCGTTGTGTCGATTTGTCTTGATTGTTTGATTGGGATTGTTATTTAATGCTTAAAATTGATACATAATCACAAATCAATATTTAGGGGATTTCTAGATTTTTCACACTTGTTATATATAACATTATTTTTTGATATTTCTCAAAATCAATTGTAAAAACTTGTGTGAAATATTTTTATAAAAATTTTCGATATTGTAATTTATAAGTGTCCCTTTTAATTTAACTTTCTAGTTCCGCCACTGGTGACAAATTCTTTTTTGTGATGAAATATCTTAATTGTCAAAATTCTCATTATCTTATTTTTTACGCTAAAATTGGACATTTAATAATGATAGTATCTTCCTCTAAAAAATAATGACACTATCTGTTGGAACTAAAATTTTAGTCTAAAAAACAAACCTGTTAACGCGAAATTGTGTTTTTTATAAAAGGGCATTTACTAGCAACATTTTTAAAGTTGTCACTAAAGGTTTTTTTTTTTTTTTTTTGGGAGCGTTTTGTAATGACTCATATAACAACTGTAATTGGTATGTGGAAATCAAAAAGTTTAATCTCTATAACTCTTAAATATTGTAACAAAGAATCCTAAAATGCCACGTCTTTTTATTTGGATGGAATTATCTAATTAAATTAGTAGGACCCACTTCAGTCCTTTTTAATAATATAACCTTAAAATCTTAAATCTTAATTAAACGATCCGATCAAAGAGAAAAGCTATGTCAATATAAATTTTATTAAAATTTTTATTTCTATATCAATATTCTTTCTTTTCAGTCCAAATAGAGAACAATATTACACTTTCATAAAATTTGGATTCCAACTTGTGATCTTTAATTTATATTACATGATTCTAAATTAGGGTTTCTAAAAAAATTAAGTCAATCGAGGGACCAGAAATGCAAATAAGCATATTTTGTTCAATTTCATCATCAACCACTTTAATGGATGGGTCCAGCTTGTATATCAAGACTGGACCAGTCCAGTTCGACTCATGGGGTCTATTTTTTGGGTCCGTTTTGATAATCTGAACCGTTCAATATGTAGAACTCGTCGAGTACTACATGTTTGTAAAAAATCAAGTTGATCGGATATCAATAGCTATGTGATCAAATCAATTTATATAAAAAAAAATGGACAGTGAAACAATTAACGGTTGATAAAAAACTGTTTTGTTCACATATCTATCGATATCCAATCAACGTGATTTTTTACAGGCATATAGTACTCGACGAATTCTACACATTGAATAGTTCAGATTATCAAAACGAGACCCGTGGTGAGCCCCCACGGACCCAACAGCACAGTCCAGTCCGATCTTAGACTGGACCAAAGCCACTGCCTTAATGGATCCCCATGTGACAAGGCAAAGCCAATTTTAAGGGATCCTGTTGCAACGCGTGTTTTTTAGGATTAAACAAATTAAAGAGTCATGATAGAGACCCCCTCTAATCACCACCCCCACAGACACGTGACGGGTGGTGGTTGGAGGAGCAGGAAGAAAAGAAAAAGAAAATGTAACCAATGAGAGAGAGGGGGGGTCAAAGGGGATGGGGAAAAAGGGACATGAAACATTTTTGTAAATTAAAAACAAAGAGACACCATTACTTACCCAGAAAAAGGGCTACCGTTATACATCTAAATGAATTTTATCAATATTTTATCTCCTATATAAATATACATAATAAATATAACATGTATATATAAATTTATTATATTTAAAAAATAGTGATTAATTCTATTATTTATTATGAATTATGTATATACAAATATATATTATTTGTTGTGTGAATCCATAGACACATGAGATTAAAAAAAAAAAACTTTGTCATACAACATACCATTAGGCGTAAAACTACTCAAAAATTTATTTAAAAAGATCATTATTGTTCATATTAAATTTATATATAGTAACGCTTACATTGATATGGACAACAATAATATATATTACAATAATGTTAAGAATATAAATGATCAAATACAAAATAAATATATATATCTCATATAGAATAAATCTAACTCTCACTTTCATAGTGTGAATCTCACTCTTTATCACATTTTATGAGACATTTGTGTTTAATTCTTTTATACTTAAACTCACTCTATACTATTGGTGGCGGCAGCGGCATCAAGACCCCTATATTTATTGCAATGTTTAAGGTGAAACAATGGCATGATACCCTAATTTCTCTTCTTTTTTTTTCTTAGTAATTTGATAGGAGGACTTGATGCTTCAGGTTCTTTTCTCCCCCATCTTTTGGGGATATTTTCCTTCCTCTACAAAACCAGATAACTATCCTACTCACCTCTCTTTACCCCCTCAAAACGTAGTACTTGAGTGCCTAAACAAACAAGCAATGCTAGATATGAAAATTATATAAAAACTATTTATTTTGAGTACTTGTCTAAAGAGTCTGAAAGCATTGAAGTCATTTTCCAAGGGCCTAAACCAATTCCCTTCAAAGTTGTTTAGACTCTCTCTCTTTCTCTCTCTCTCTCTCTTTAAATCACCCACCATTGATCGCGCTTGTTTGGATCATATCAAAGTCTTCCCAATTCCAGAGAGATTCCATATCTCAACTTTCTCAAGTAGAGTAAAAAGGATAGAAAAATGGTGGGTTCCTCGTCTTTCTCCTTTTTCTATTCCTTTTTGTCACTCTCTTCTTATTTCCTTCAAAACAAACACATATATTTGTTTTCTCTCTTACCCTCCTTTTCTTCTTCTTCTTCTTCTTCAGGAAGTAGAACAACAACTCAATACATGGGAAGGCTATGTGGATTGGAGGAACAAACCTGCACTTAGAGGCCGCCATGGCGGCTTTTTCGCCGCCTACTTTGTTTTGGGTAAGTCAAATTCTTCAAAATCTTGATAATTCTTGTTTTTCTAAGAAAAATTCAAGGTGGGTATGATTTATATATATTTATATGAATCTTTTTTTGTCATTCTACACATACATATAATTGATCAATTTTATGATTCGTGTACATGTAGTTGTGGAGGTATTGGAGAACTTGGCATTTCTGGCAAATGCAAGCAATTTGGTGCTATACATGTCCGACTATATGCATTTTTCGCCATCGAAATCGGCCAATTCTGTGACAAATTTCATGGGGACTGCCTTCCTTCTTGCCCTCCTTGGCGGTTTCTTATCGGATGCTTTCTTCACTACTTATCTTATCTACCTGATGTGTGCAGTGGTTGAATTTCTGGTAATTTTCCAGTTTTACTTCTCTCAGTTTCCATTTTAACTTATGCTCTGTTTGTCTCAGAAATTTTTTTTTGCGGGAAACAATTTTAGATAATGTTTTTGATCCGCAAATTGTTTTCTTCTGCTTGGTTTCGACCCTCAAAATGATAGTACTGATAGTTGTGAAAATAGCGTAGGTAGTGGTGGCGGACGACCGGTGGTTAGTGTTGGTTTAGGGTTGGTTTGGAAAGAACGTTTTTACTCTTTTTTGGTTTTTAGCTCCACTTGAGAAGATATTTCTGATTTTTTTGAGTTTTTTTTTTTTTTTTTTGAGAAGAAAAAATTGAATAATTATAATTTGAATGTAATATTTTATATTATTAATTTATTTAATTTATTTTATCATTTTATATATTTTTTTTAAAATTCCAACCTACTCCAAATCAACCTGACAAACAGTAACTAAGTATAGTTTGGTTATTCTATTTTTGACAAATTAAGGTATTTGGATAAATTTTTTTTTTTTTTTGGTTGAAAGGAGCATATATAAAGGAAATTACGAGTTCACGAGTTTAAGGTACAATACCCATTAGCATCATCATACAATTGATTTACAATAATTAAGGGAGCAAAATGAAAAAATTATAAACTCAGTATTGTAGAATAGCCCAACTTAACTATAATATCTGCACTTTGATTTTCTCGATAGATATGATTAGCTTCAGGTTTTGATGCATTGGCATTTCCACTTTTGGAAGCCAGTTGCATCCACTTTTTCACTTTTGAGGAAGGCTACCCTTTAATATTTGCATGAAAAATACATGGAGAAGTGGAATCACAAAAAAAACTTTAGGCTGAAAGTAATCGAGTACCTAGATGAATGAACAAGTTGGGTTCTGATTGGGATTTTTTATTTTGGTAGGCGGTTTAATAGATCAATTAATTTTTGAACTTAAAATTAATGAGTGAGTGTATTCTCATAGTCTAAATTTTGATCGGCATGTGAATCTCGCATGACAGGCATGATGCATGTATAATTTAAATAAATAAGAATAAAAATAAATAATAAAAAAATAATATTATAATATGTATATTGTTTAAGTGGTAAGAGTATTTTTAATAAAATCTAAAATCTTATGTTCAAATTTTGTGCACCATCTCTTTGTATAATTTTTTATTTTAAGATGAAAAAATCTATCAAAGCCACATGACACGAGGAGAAGACAAACAAGTTCAACCCTCATTTAATAATAATTTGGATATAGAATATGATGCAACAACTTATAGAAGATACAATTTTTTTTAATGAGGAATAAGTGCAATAAATATTAGTTAATGCATCAACCAATTTTGAGCTAGCACTTCAAAAAAAATCATTTCACTATTTTCCTTTCAAGAAAAGAATTCTAACTCTCTATTTCACTTTTTGGCCATAGAAATATTCTCTCGCATTAAAATGAAAAAATTTAAAATCTTGTTTAATAATTTTCTTGAACTTCTGACTTGATATATTTCACTCCTAGGTATATAGTTATGTTTGTATTTATATAATAAATATCACCTATATATGGACACACTTTTTTTCTTTTCTTTTTCTTTTTTAAAAATATGAGTAATGAGACCAACTAGAAACACATGAAATAATTTTTTACCCCAAGGGGCTCTTTTCACATCATTTTAGTAATAGTTCATGGGACTCTTTTGGGTCCCCCCTCATTCAACACCATCAACTTATCTGTTGCCCTAACAAACCATGTCAAGCCCAGCCAAACACGACCATCATTTTCTGAATTTCTGCTGAAAGGCTGACCAGACATATGAATTTTTGTTTGTTTGCATTAATGTTTTGTTTTTTGGGGGTCTTTTTAATAAGACCTCAAATGTCAACCAATGAGAGTATGATTCATCACCATTCCAGATGTCCCAAGCCCACGTTGTAGCAGATCAGTCTGTTTCACACCATGTGTGAGCTTGCTCTCTACCATGTCAGGTAGTCTTCGATTGTGTAATCTGTGTTGTATAATACCAATGGCATAAAAATCATATCCCCGCCGTGTTTGATTCCAGGATATAAAAGATAGGATTAGATATTATATTCTGTGAGGTACACATATTTCATGTTTGTAATTTTTTTTTAAAGAGAATATAATATCTCCTGGGATTGTATATTCCCAAAAAACGGAGAATATACAATACCTCCACCTCCCATTATATCATATACCCTTGGTTGGGATATGATTTAAAAAGTCTAATTTACCCTTTTGTCTATCTAACATAATATAATTTAATATATATTTTTAGAATTTAATATAATATAAATATTATTGAATTTAATTTAATATAATATAATATAATATTATTTAATATAATATAATATAATATAATATTATGAGGGCAATCTTGGAAATTACTTGTTATATCCCACAATATATTTTGTAAAACAAGCATGCATAACATATATCCAATCTTATATATCAAGTCAACAAACATGACTTGGGAGATATACTATTCAATACCTATATCCTATTCATTATATATCCTGATTAAATCTCACATTATATTATATCCTCTATTTTATATCTAGTGAAACAAACAGGGCCTTAAGGTTGGGCTTGGGGTGGGGGAGAGTGGGGGCCATTTCTCTAAATAAGCCAAATTATCAATTCAATTCCCAAACTAAGCTTAGTTTTAAAAGAATTTCCAAAATATGCTAAAACGTGGTTCACAACCACGCTTTCAACGTTTGTCCCGTGAAAATGACGAAATCGTAAAAGCGTTTTAATTAAGAAAGCGTTGTTCCTAATCACGTTTTTAAATAAATTTTTTTTTTTCAAAAAACGTAATTTCTAACCACGCTATTAAAAATCTTTTTTTTTTTTTCAAAAAACGTAATTTCTAACCACGCTATTAAAAATCTTTTTTTTAATTGAATTTAATATAATATAATATTATTTAATTTAATATAATATAATATAATTTAATTTAAAATTTGAATTTAATATAATATAATATAATAATATTTAATTTAATTTAATTTAATATAATATTATGAGGGCAATCTTGAAAATTATTTATTTATATCCCACAATATATATATTTTGTAAAACAAAATATCAAGTCAACAAACATGAATTGGAATATATTATCCAATACCTATATTCTATTCATTATATATCCTGATTAAATCTCACATTATATTATATCTTCTAATTTTATATCCAGTGAAACCCTAGTGGGTCTCAACCGAATGGAATTTTCTGTCTCAAAACAAAACTTATCTGACTCGCATTTTGATTTTGTATTTATATTTTTGAAATTTTATATTTTAAATTTTTTATAAGTTGATAGTAATGTTGTAAAATGAACTAAATTATTTGAATTCGACTCGTTTAAAAGTTCATTTTAGATTAAGTCATTGGCCCCGTTTGTTTTCAGAGGTAGAATGGAGGAGATTAATAGTGAAGGGATTAAGTAAAATTGTGTTTGTTTTGATGATAGTTGTTAGTGTAGGAATTGTTAAATTATTTTTATATAAAATAATAAAACAAATAAAAAAAATACAAAAACATTAAACATTAATGTTTTAAAAAAAATGCCCAACATGTAAAAAAATTTAAAAAAATAAAAATAAAATAAAAAATTTTCAAAAAAAATAAAACAAATAAAATAATGATTTTTACTTGACAAAAAAAATAAAAAATTAAACATTAATGTTCAAAAAAAAATGCTCGACATGTAAAAAATAAAATAAAAAATTTCTAGTCTGTCGGACTATTTTTCTAATACCAAGTTCTTGAGGCCTATCCGAATCCCCTTTGAGAGGTCCATCGTAATCCGGAGCTCGCTATCAATCCCCTCCCCATCTCTCAAAACAAACACAATATTAGTAGGTCCTACTTCACTACCAATCTGAATCTCCCCTCTAACTCTCCAAACAAACGGGGCCATTGTGTAAACAAGTTAAATTTAAACATATTTTAAAACTTGTTCATTTTTTAAGTCAAATTTAAATAATTTAGTAAATATATAATAAAGAATAAGATATTTGGATTCATTAAAAACTTATATAAAATTGACTTGTTAAGTATTTAAATCAAGTTTGGATTCCTAGTGCTTTCGTCACTAATGTTGTGTTTAAATTTCGAATTTGTGCAAAAGTTTGTGGAGAAAAAATAACGAGATTTTTTAATTTTAAAAAATTTCATTGACAAATGCCTTTTCTTATTTCTTATTTCTTTTTTTTTTAAAATTTCTATGTTCAAAATTCAAATAAAACAAAATCAACCCATCTGCGCAAAACCCAATTTCTTAGGCATATAGTTATCATGAATTTTCTTTAGACATATGTTATCATGATTTTTCTTAGATATCTATGTAGACTCCAATTTCTTAGACATAGTTGACTTCAATTTCTTAAACATTTTCTTGAATGCATGTCCATAGTTTTTTTTGTTTTTTTTTTAATTTTTTCTTTGATTCATATAATATATTATAATAAAATTCAATACATTACAATCATAATAATAAGAATCAAATATAATATATAATCAATACAAAGAAACTCTTAAAGTATGAGAGAAAGACCCGGGAAATAAGATCCATATAAATAAACTGATCTCTTACACAAAAAATATTTAAATCACTGATCTCTTAATGAGATGTAAGAGTTCTGATAAATCAAATTAGGCCGTTGGTTATATGTTAATAAAAGGTTAATTCAATTGGAGAGCCCTTCACTAAATTCCATTTGAGATCCAAAATCTCTGATCTACAGTGACATTTCATTGGTTGGTCTTATATAGTGACATTCCAAATCCAACATTGTCTAAATTATCCACAAAGGGACCCAATTTTTTGGAAGAGTCTGATGACGAAGCTTTTCTTGATTGGAGTATTCTAACCGTCTGATCTGTTGCTTTCTAACCTATCAATTTAATAAGAAGGAAAAAAAAAAAAAATGGTGAAGGATTACCAAGCCAGTCCCGTGATGAATCCAGAAGCTTTGACTCTTTTGATTGAAAACTTACGCTGATAAAATTGAAAGAATTACAAAAATATGATAATATAAGTGAGTCTATGTTTTGGAGCGCGTCAAAATTATGATTTTAGTATGTACTAAATAATAAATTTCACAAATAATTACAAATATTATTCGATAATAATAATAATAATAATAACCATGCCTAGTATCATTCACCAATAATAAATTATCATTTCTTATGTTATATTTTAATACTGGCATAAATATGATAGACGTAATTATCTAAAAACCACTCATAGAGACAGTACTATAGTAATACCCCTCTCGAATATGCAAAAAATTACCCTTCTTTTTCTTTTTTGATATTGAAAAAAGGATCTTCCGTAGAGATATCAAAATTACCCTTCTAAGTTTAGCATTTTTAACAAATTTGAATTGGCTAACTTTTGGATTCCAACTCCACTGAATTCAGAAATCTTAGATATCAAACTAAAATTAAGAAGTTTAGATTGTGTGAACTTGAAATCAACTACTTACGATATCTATTAGAGCATCTCCGACGGTAATAGACATTTTATCTATCTAAACATTACTATAAAGTATATGTTTTATTTTGCCTATCAACTATTACATATTTCTATTCCAACCATATTATTTATTTTAGCTATTCATCTAAATACTATTAATTTTATAAAATGCCACATCAGCAATAAAGATGGAGGAAAATAATCCTAATGATTAAATACATTTTGCCTAGCCGTGAAGGCTAGCTACATGTAGCTAGTGAATGTGAGCTGAGCTAAAATGCTTACTCATATGCCTAGTGCATTGGAGTTGAAAAAAATAAGTTATAATAAGCATTTTGACTAACAAGCATGATATACCTACTGGGTTAAAAATGTTCTTAAATTTTTTATATATTTTTATTTTATTTTTTGGGGTGAGAAATTGAACCACTTCCTCGTTTTTTTTATTATTCAGGTGTTGAATTTATTTAAATAATAATATATAATTTCTACCTCACTTGCCTTTTTTTTTATTTTCATACTCAAATCTATCCTCAAATTCAAAAATTCCAACACAGCCTAAAACTGATGTGAATTCAATGTTTTTAACCAATTTTTGGATGGTTTGAACAGGGCTTGATCGTACTGACAGTACAAGCTCACTCGCCCTCCCTAAAACCACCACCATGCCCTACAGTCGCCGCCACCAACCCCACCACCACCCCCCTATGCCAGGAAGTCAGCGGTGGCAAAGCAGCAATGCTATTCACGGGCTTATACTTGGTGGCGCTTGGCGTTGGAGGCATAAAAGGCTCGTTACCATCACACGGAGCAGAGCAATTCGACGAGAGCACGCCCAAGGGGAGGAAGCAGAGGTCGACATTCTTCAACTACTTCGTCTTCTCTCTGTCTTGTGGCGGCTTAATCGCCGTGACATTAGTGGTGTGGATTGAAGACAACAAGGGTTGGCAATGGGGCTTTGGGTTATCAACTTTGGCAATACTGTTGTCTCTGCCTGTTTTTCTTGCTGGGTCTTGTTTTTACAGAAACAAAGTGCCTAGTGGAAGTCCACTTACAACCATATGCAAGGTAACAATATGGGACTCCCTTTTCTTTTATTACTTCATTATTGGCTTCTAACCAACTTTGCATTATTCTTGTTAGAGGTGTACACGGATTGCTTTGAGTCGATTTTGAGGGAAAATATCAACTGAACCATTAGATTGAGAATTTTCAACTCATTCTCAATTTGTCCACATCCTAAGAAAACGAGTAGTTGGTCAAATAATTTTAATGGTTTTAAACCAGCAGTTTGAACGTGTTGAGTGTTATAGAAATACAGAATGAGCAAAAACATGAGTGAATATATAACTCCATTATTTATTCTAAATTACAAATATGATTAAGATGCTCAAATCATTTTTCATAAATCAAATTAGAAGAAGAAAAAATGCAATGAAAATGAAGGGTGGGGTGTCATTTGATTAATGGTATTCGAGTTGAAAAATATTGTGTGGCCAAGTTCAAGGTAATTTGTGTATTCATATGGATAACTTGAGTCTTTTTGTAAATAGATTGGCAAATTTTAAAACTTAGGTTAACTGACAAGTCAATTTTTATTTATCAAATGGACACAAGTTGATTTGGGTTGGCCCAAGTTCTCGGGTTAACGACTTTTTTGGGCACCCCTAACTGTAGGGACCAACACCCATATATGGTTTTTTTTGTGAAACTCACATCTATGTGAGCATATGAATATTTTGTTGTGAATTAATTATGTGTAACTATGTTTTCTGCTTGTGTGGAGATTTAACAATTGACTATTCTCTCAATTCCTCGCCAAATTTCACAAACTTTATCTAATTTCAGCAACAAGTTTGTAGTTTCAGCTTCCTGACTAAAGCATATCTGATACTGCTTTTCTGTGAAATTTCACAGGTTCTTCTAGCTTCCACACTAAACTCCTGCATGAGCAGAACTTCGAGCAATGCTATCGCGAGCATGGCGACAAGCCCATCTCCACCCGCAATCACCAAAGAAGAAGAACAACAATCAATCACCAAAGCCATAGAACCCATTGAAACCCCATCAAAAAGCCTCAAATTCCTCAACAGAGCAGTGGCTGACAGACCAGTCCACAAATCACTACATTGCTCAACACAAGAAGTCAAAGAAGTGAAAATTGTCCTAAAAGTCCTCCCGATTTTCGCCTGCACAATCATGCTGAACTGTTGCCTAGCCCAACTCTCCACTTTTTCAGTCCAACAAGCTGCCACAATGGACACCAAACTCGGCTCCCTAAAAGTCCCCCCGGCCTCCCTCCCAATTTTCCCTGTCCTCTTCATCATTGTCCTTGCACCGCTCTATGACCACTTCATCATCCCATTCGCGCGAAAAGTCACCAAATCTGAAATGGGTATTTCTCATCTCCAAAGAATCGGATTTGGGTTAGTCTTGTCGATTATAGCAATGGCAGTGGCGGCTCTAATTGAAATTAAACGTAAGCGAGTCGCTTATAACTCAGGACTCATCGATTCTCCTAACAATCCGTTACCCATCTCATTTTTCTGGATTGCTTTCCAGTACTTGTTTTTGGGCTCAGCTGATCTCTTCACATTGGCTGGATTGATGGAATTCTTCTTCACTGAGGCCCCAATTAGTATGCGATCGCTGGCGACTTCTCTCTCCTGGGCTTCTCTGGCAATGGGGTACTATCTCAGCACTGTGATTGTGTCAATTGTTAACTGTGTCACTGGCAATTCCAAGCACAAACCATGGCTCTCTGGTACTAACTTGAATCACTTTCACTTGGAGAGGTTTTATTGGCTAATGTGTGTGCTAAGTGGATTGAATTTCTTGCACTACCTCTTTTGGGCAAATCAGTACAAGTATAGATCAAAAAATGCCAACAAGTAAAATGAGCTGCTAATATCAGCCGATACATATCGGGATTTTGGATCAGACAGTAGTTTCATGTTAATACCATTTTAAATGGGGAACCAAACATGCATTGCCAGGCAAGGCAAAAACCCTTTTGATTGTAAATATGGATTGACGGAGATTTGCTGCATATCATAAGATAGGACATGTTTGGATGATGTGATGAAACTAGTTCACAACTGGGATCTACAGACCTCCTTTTGTAATAATCACTGGTAATGTAATAGAATGGACATCAAAATGGTTTATGCTCATAGATCACTTGTAATGTATATTGGAATTTGGAAATTGTTTTTTTTATTTTTTTAGGCAGCTTTTCTTAAATTTTGTAAAAATTCATTTCATTTTGAGATCCTAAAAACGACGCTATACATGCAGAGAATAATATAAAAAAATTGTGGACTTATTACTTTAAAACAAAAAATTTATAAAGACATTTCTTAATATTAAAAATGTCATTAACATGAATTATTCAGGATGAAAATTATAAAAAATAGTATTTTCCAAGGTTGAATCTTACTTTATTGTGTTTAGATTAACAACCTAATAGATATAAATCACTTCATTTCATAATACAATCCATCAAAAAATGGAAAATATAAAACAGAAAAGTGTTTCATATATCTCATTGAATTGAAGGATAATGACATCCAAATCGCTTTCCAATCAATTGTCACATCCTATCCCACAAACTAAACTCTCCACCAAAAAACAAAAATCCTAAAAATTATCTAAAAAATATATTCTACGAGTCAATAATTATTCGTGATATGGCTGATATCCAACAAATTTTAAATCGATACTTGCAGAGTAATTCGCTGCCGGGACAAAAATTCAAGGTAGATAGCATTTTCTCTTTAAAAAAATCAAAAACAAAATTGTGTTTTTTATCATGACCCAAACACTCTCTCCCGGAATCCCAGCGTGGACCGGAAACAGCATATAATACCCCGGGGTGCAATAGGCGCAACCACATTAATCTTAAAATAATGCTTAGTAGTTTAAATTTGCGTGGTTTGATGGCTCGAATATATTAAAACGACGTCATAAAACAAAATCGTTTCGAGACATTCAAGTTACTTTTTTTTTTTAGATTGCCAAAATAGGAACAAAGAAACAAATCAAAGAGGCGCCTCCCTCCTAACGAGGGAGTGCAAAGAAGGCGGAACATCATCCAGCCAGATGGAAAAATTATCCATAGAAAAAGCCATTCGAGCGAGACAGTGGGCTACTGAATTTCCTTCCCTCTTCACGTGCTGAACAGCCCAAGAATGGAATCTGGGCAGCAGAGATTTTGCCTGCTCCACAAAATGCCCAAATGAAGCCAAGGATGTCGAAGCAGAGTGAAAGGCCCGAACTATTATCATCGAGTCACCTTCAAGAACTATGTGGTGGAGCCCCAGATCCAATGCGAATTGAATAGCAGCCAGCACTGCAAAGGCCTCAATGCAATCCACCGGCATCGTTGACCCCCGTTTGGCTGACATGGCAGCAATGACAGCACCCATATGGTCCCGAGCCACAATCCCAACACCAATGAAGCCATCAGCAGTAGAACAAGCCCCATCAAAATTAACTTTAACCATTCCTTCTGCTGGAGGAGTCCAACGGATTGGCAGGAGAACTGGCCGCGGCACTTGAGTACGAGTCTGGACAGTGCAAAATTCTTGATAATAGTCAGATGCATACCGAGCAAGCTCCGCTTCAGTTTGGACCGTGTTATTGAACACCACTTGGTTGCGGTGTGTCCAGATGCACCAACATATTACCCAAAACAACTCCCCCGTTACTAAATCGACAGATGAAATGAACTCTGAAATCCAGTCAAACAAGGTCCTAGACCATTTCCGGTGAACAACCAACGCGAGCCTACTGCAGGCCCACACCTTTTTGGCAAAAGGGCAGTCGAAAAAACAATGGTGAGTGGATTCTGGAGCCTGATGACAGAGGCCACAATCTGCCATAGTTAAAACCTTACGAGTTCGTAAGTTAGAGCGCACAGGCAAAATTTCCAAACACATTTTCCAGCCAAAAACTTTAATCTTACCAGGGATCCGCATATTCCAGAAACTCTTCCAAAAGCTAGCCCGAGCCAGCCCACTATTCGACGACGAAGCATGCTGAGATCTGCTACGGATACTCATCTCAAGATGGTATGCCGATTTAACCGAAAACTGGCCCTGATTTGTATAATGCCATACTAATATGTCTTCTGCCAACAGCGGACATAAAGGAACCGATTTAATAAGCTCAATCTCTGAGGGTGGGAAGCAAGCACCAAGCATTCCTTCATCCCAATTCCCAACATCGTGATCAATCAAAGCACTTACTTTAGCATTAACGTCCAGGTGAGAAGGAGGGGTGCAGATTTTGAAAGAAAAAGGCCGCGGAACCCATTTGTCCTGCCAAATGCAAATTTGAGCCCCATTGCCCACGCGCCACCGTAAACCTTCCAACAATAGAGAACGCGCATTCCAAATACTCCTCCACGAAAAGGACGGACTGGCCCCTAGGGGTGCATCAATAATCGAGCATTGTGGGTAATATTTGGCTTTCAGAACCTGGGCCACCAAACTGTTCGGGGATTGAAGGAGTCTCCAAGATTGCTTAGCCAACAAGGCTTTATTGAAGGCCACAATAGATCGAAATCCCATCCCGCCTTCAGGTTTCACCTTACAAAGGGTTGGCCAACTACACCAGTGAATCTTACGCCGTTCCTCCCGTTGACCCCACCAGAATCGGGCAATCATGCCACTAATCTCACGGCACAGTCCATCTGGCAATTCAAAGCAGGACATGATATAAGTTGGGATAGCTTGAACAACTGCCTTAATAAGAGTTTCTCGGCCTGCTGCCGATAAGCACTTTTCCTTCCAACCATTAAGACGTTGCCACACTTTATCCTTTATATAACCAAACACTGCCTTTTTTGACCGACCCACAACAGACGGCATCCCCAGGTATCTCCCGCTTGTCACCAATTGGCCCACACCCACTAGAGCTGAAAGGCGAACCTGTTCCTCCAACCGTACATTCGAACTGAAGCATATCCCGGATTTGTCAAAATTCACCCGTTGTCCAGATGCCACTTCATATTTCCGTAGCAAACCATGAACGGTATTCAACGACTGGTCATTTGCTTTAGCAAACAACAGACTATCATCAGCGAAAAAAAGATGGGAAATTTGGGGCCCTCCTCGACAAATAGAAATACCCGAAAGGCGACCCTCTACTTCAGCCCGCCGGATCAGAGCCGATAAAGCTTCAGCACACAGCAAGAACAGATACGGGGAAATGGGATCCCCCTGCCGAAGGCCCCGCGAAGGTCGAAAACAACGTGTGGGTTTACCATTTAGAAGCACTGAATAAGAGACACTCGAGACACAATGCATCACCAATCCAACAAATTCGAAAGGGAAGCCCATCTTAATCATAACCGCCTCCAAGAAACTCCACTCCACCCGGTCATAAGCCTTACTCATATCAAGCTTTAAAGCAAAAAAACCCGATTCCCAATCTTTTATTCTTAAGGAAATGGAATACTTCGAACGCCATCAAAACATTGTCTGTAATAGCCCGGCCGGGAACAAAAGCACTCTGATTGACTGACACAACCGTAGCCAACACCTCCTTAAGCCTGTTAGCTAAGACTTTCGAAACTAGTTTATACACTACATTGCACAGGCTTATAGGACGAAATTGACTCGGCAATTGTGGGTGTTTCACTTTTGGAATAAGAACAATGTAAGTATTATTGATTTCGGAAACATCATACCCCTCATTCAGAATTCCCAAAACAGCCCGACACACATCGCCGCTTACCAAATCCCAGAATTTTTGAAAGAAAAGAGCTGGAGTACCATCAGGCCCAGGGGCCTTTGTAGGGTGCATCTGGAACAAAGCTAGACGAACCTCTTCTGCCACAAAAGGCCGATCCAAATGGTGACTCATTCCTACAGGTATAGAGGTATTGATGCAGTCAACAACCTCATCCACATTTTGAGAAGTATTGGTGTGAAACAAGTCTTGAAAATAGCCTAACACAATATCTTCCAAGTCAGCTGGCCGCGAGCACCACTCACCCCGTTCATTTTCCAGGCCTGAAATTGCCTTCTTCTTCTGCCGTTGGGAAGCCTTCGCATGGAAGAAAGTAGTGTTTCTATCCCCATCCTTCAACCAATTTGTACGGGCTCTTTGAGCCCACATCACCGATTCTTTTTCAAGGAGCTCATCCACCTCTAATTGGGCACGACGCAATGCCTCCAAATCAATAGCACTAAGAATCGGCAAAGCTTGTAGCCGTTGGATGTCTGCCAACTTTATATGCAGCTTACGCTGCACATTACCCAGAACCTGCCAGTTCCAAGCTTGTAACTGAGAAGCCACAGCTCGCAATTTACCAGACAGAAGCTCAACACCGGAGAAATTACTGTCTTGGTGCCATTCCCGTGTAATGATGCCTGCACAAGCCTCCTCCCTCAACCACATTGCTTCGAAACGATACAACTTTCGGTATTTCGGCCCGTGGGCCATCTGAGATTTAACCCCGTCCAGATCTAATAATATAGGAAGATGGTCAGATGATGTACCTCCCAAATGGTAGACCTGAGCCATCGGAAAAGAATTTAACCACCTCTCATTGGCCACACATCTATCCAAACGTTCCCGGATCAAACCAGCCCCCGCCCGACCATTACACCAAGTGAACGCCGCCCCTTCAAAACCCAAATCAGCTAAGTCACAGTCAGAAAGGACCTGGCGGAAGCCATCCATCTGCCTTTGACTTCTTTCCGCCATTCCAGATTTTTCATGGGCATACAAAATTTCATTGAAATCTCCCGCACACAACCACGGCATATGCATCTGATCCTGAAGGCGTCGCAACAGTTCCCACGAATCATTCCGTAGAGAAGCGATCGGGTTTCCATAGAACCCAGTAAAATGCCATGAAGCAATCCCAGTGTCGGAAAGGATAACTGAATCAACATGGCCCCTTGAGAAACTCTTAATCTGTAGCTGAATGTCACCAATCCATAATAAAGCTAAACCTCCCGAGAGTCCCATACGATCAACCGTAAAACACCCCTGCAACCCAAGTTTACACCGAATCCTCTCCATAGCTCGAGCACCAAGTTTGGTTTCCATCAAGAAAACCAGAGTGGGAACTTCCTTCTTCAACAAGAGCTGAAGAAAACGAACTGTCCGTGGGTTCCCAAGCCCACGGCAGTTCCAACAGATGATTTTCATGGCTGTCGGCGGGGCTGGGTCCCAGCCACCACCGTTGAATC